CGAGTCATGAAGTAGCTGTCCCAATAGCATGAAGAAGAAGATGCTGGGTCTGGCTTCTTGTGCCCAGCCTTCGCCAGAACACTAACAGTCAGTGTGCGCCTCCTCGTCATCATAAAAGAAGCTTGTGTTGATTGAGCACTAAGTGCAAAGCACTGAGCTCAGTACTTCACCTGTCTCGCATCGCCAGTCCTTCTGAGGCCAGCGCATATGTTACCTTCGATGGAAAATCAGAGGCACCAAGTGGGTGTCACTTGCCCAAGATCCCACACGGAGTCCTTGGTGAGACCGGGACTCAAGCCTACTCTGCATCCCTGCACCTCACGCATCCTCCCTGACAGTCCCCTTTCACCCTGGCCTAGCAGCGCTGACCATTCTAGGCTTGACATTCGAACTTCCTGGAGGACAGCCCAGGTCAGCACATCTTCCTATGCTGGATGAAAAGGCCCACGGACAACTCCTCCTCCTGATAAGTCCCCTTTATTCCTGTGCCTTGAAACGCTTTCTAATAAAACCCACGTACTTGAGAAACAAAACCTTAAGCATCCTCTTCTCCCCCATCCCTCCCCCTTTTACCTGCTTCCCCACGGCATCCAGTTGGTAACAAATCTCTCTTGCTGTTTATTTACCTCTTAATAAGCCCCAGCTCCTCTCGGAAAGCCATTTAACACGACGCCACTTAATTTCTCCTGGAGGCAGAATCTGCCAGATGGAGTCTTCGTCCCAAGCCACGCTGATTTGTCTTATTTTGAAACATCAGTGAACATTCCATGAAATTAAAATAGCAGTCAGTTCCCAGGTGTGGACTCACTGAGCAGGGAGCGATCAAGAGTGTATGGATGTGTCCACCTGGGTCAGCTGTTCCAAACGGGCTGGATTAACAAGGGAACGACGTCCTCAGGTGGCTGCCAGCCAGCAGCTGGCCGCGTCTGGCTGTCACTCAGTGCACAGCACGCAGCTTTTCCGCATCAGCTGGATCCAGCCACTCATCACCTCCGCTGGCTGGACCCCCTCGGGCTGTGCATCCTTGCCTTTTCCACGGTCATGCTCCTGACAGTCGAAGAGACAGAGTGCACCCAGAGGACCAGGAGACCAGCACAGAGTGGCCCAGTGCAAGAAGGCAATGTCCCCGATGTCTCCTTTTTCATCCCTAAAATTCCTCTGATTTCATAACATAACTATATTTGGGGTATAAATATAATTCTTTAAAGGATGTGCCAGCTAAATTCTAAACCATGTCCCCCACAGAAAAAAAAAAAAAGTCTCTTTAAAGAATTAACACCCCAAAATGATATCGATTTCATACCTTCATCACTCCCAGACACACACGACAGGAGGTAGTGCGTCTCTGCGGGAGAAGCACAGCCCAGGGACGGGCAGCCCTGGCTTGGGGAGGGAAGCTTGCAACGGGACCGAGAATGTTGCTTCACCACCATCTTCAGGAAGAGAGGATTGCATCGAAGACAGAGGCGATTGTTAGCAGCATCTCAGTGACCTCCCCGGGATCCAAGGAAGAAGAGACTGGTCTGAGTTACAGCTTCTTGGGTGGCTCCATTGACATGTGATACCTGTCATCATGGTGGCAATTGACAAGAAACACTCCACCCAGCTCACAGAAGTGACTATTCATAAAAATGTATACCTCAAGCTCATCTCCATAACCTTCCCTCACCTTAATCACCCACATCCCATAGTAAGCAGTGAAGTCCTCGACAAGGGGGAAGAATGAGGTCAGGAGGTGCGTTGGCCTTGCCTCTGATCAGCCTATGCACGCAGCTCTCCCAGCTAGTCTTTGCCAACCGCCCCGCGTGCTCTGAACCGCTGGCAATCCCGAGATGGCTCAGAGGCCGCGTGTTCTCGTTAAATCGATCTCTAATACCAGACCGAATGCTGAGCTATTAGCAATCAACTGCTACCCCAGCACCGCCAAAGGCACTATCCGACAGGACACAGATGTCAAGGCGGGAAAGTGGAGAAGGTGTACAAGCAGAATGAGAAGTCTTTGTTTCTTGGAGCAGTTTTGCTGTTAATATGAAGAATCCTTTTTTTAAAACAAAATTTTTTTAATCCTCACCCAAGGATATTTTTCCATTTTTATTCAGATAAAGTGGGAAGGAGAGAGAGAGAGAAACATTGATGTGAGAGTGTGAGAGGGACACATCGACTGGTTTCCTCCCACACGACCCCGACCAGAGCAGGGGGACGAACCGCAACCGAGGTCCGTGCCTTTGACCAGAATCCAACGCTGGACTCATTGGTCCGTGGGCTGAGCTCTAACCGCTGAGCCAAACCGGCCAGGGAAAGACTCCTTTTTTAAAGCACACTTTCAAAAAGGATGAGAGCCCTGGCCAGTTTGGCTCAGCGGTTAGAACATCGGTTTGCGGACCAGAGAGTCCCAGTTTGGTTCCCGCTAAGGGCATGTACCTCAGTTGCAGTTTGTTCACGGCCCTGGTTGGGGTTGTGTGGGTGGCAGCCAGTCGATGTGTCTCTCTCATGTCGATGACTCTCCTCTCTCTCTTCCCCCCTCTCTCCTTTCCACTCTATCTGAAGATAAATGCAAATATGTCCTCAGGTGAGGATAAAAAATAAAATAAATAAATAAAAACAAAAAGGGAAAGAAAAGCAATGGAGAAACCCATCCCTCCATTACCCTATGAACCCATTCCAATTCCTTTAAGCAGCCTTATATTCGGACCTGTAACAGGTGTCCCCAGGGCTGCTTTGCAGAAAGACAAATCTTCCCCTGAATCCTTCCCTAACTGCTTTGACAGCAACATGGACACTGCCGTCGCAGGAGTATCCACCCTAAACACATCAGTAAACCGATACACGTGTTTCTGAAATGACACTGAGCAACAACCCGGGACGACCTGATTCTTCACGTAGAAAAAAAAGTGATGTGGGGCAGAGAGAAAGTATAAAAGAAGCTGATGGACTGAAAGTGCTTGAAGCCTGTGACATGCTTTTCCACCAGGAGAAGAATCATCACTAAGAGCTGGGGTGCGGTGCCCCGCCTCCTCAGAGGTGGCTCAGTCGCCAGTGGATGCTGCTGCCGGGGAATGAGTTAGGCAGAGCGCGGAGCTCTGGGGAACACAGGCGCCTCCGCAGGACTCGGGGGTCTTGAAACGCTGCAAGGCTGCGCTCCAGTTCTGAGGGCCCTCGATGCTTTATAGACTTGATGAGAGCTCCCTCGGCCTCCGAAAGGGAAGCACATTCATTTCAGGGGACTGAGAGAGCCCTCTGGGAGGGTCTTTTATGAAGGAAAATGGGGTCCTAGGAAAGCTTGCTTGGGGTTCTCCAGAGGGCCCCAAAGAAGGGAGGTAGATATCAAACCCTATATCCTCCTCAGGGACATTTGTGAAGACAAAGGAGAAATGGGAAATTCCAGCCATGCCCTTTCTCTGGAAGAGTAGGCTTGTCATGCCCAGGGCAGTCCGATTCCAGCAGAAACAGAAGCTGTCACATGCCAGAGGGGCTCAGCATCAGGAGAGAAAAACAGCAAAGGAGAGCCTGCCTCTCCAGGCCTGGCAGCCCTTGGGGGCCTCCGGTTGTAAGCCAGCTGGGCTTAGTTAAAAAGACTCTATGTAGCCTGGCCGGTGTGGCTCAGTGGTTGAGCACTGACCCATGCACCAAGAGGTCGCCGGTTCGATTCCCGGTCAGGGCACATGCCCAGGTTGTGGGCCTGATCCCCAGTGCGGGGCATGCAGGAGGTGGCCAATCGATGTTCTCTCTCATCGATGCTTCTCTCTCTTCCTCTCCCTTCCTCTCTCTCTAAAATCAATAAAGAAAATATAGAGGTCTCCATGTAGAATATTGTTTTGTTTCCAACTCGCACATTTAAAGAAGGACCTTTCTAAATGCAGCCTGAGACATAAGAGCCCCCAGACCTTTTTGTTTTGTTTTTCATTTTTTTCTTTATTGTGGAATTTGGTGTCAACTTGGAACCGGGCTCAGCTTCCAGCTCTGTTTTTGTAAGACCTTGGGAGATTTTTCCTTGACTTTCCGTTTTTTAATCTGTGCAATGGATACAATAATATCTATTCCAGTGGGTTATTATGCAAGTAAATGAAGCATTAATTAACACCAGTGCTTGGCACAGTAGCAATGCTAACTTTGCCATTATTGCTGCCACTGTTATTATCTGAGGTTGAGAAATTGGATGGGAAGAGGAGTACATAATATCCTTAGATTTATTTTTATTTAAAAAATACATGTTTTTTTCTTTATTGATTTTAGGGAGAGGGAGACAGAAACATCGATGAGAGAGAACATCAACTGGCCGCCTCCTGCATGCCCCCACTGGGGATTTGGCCCACAACCTGGGCACGTGCCCTGAAAATCAGACTGGCGACCTCTTGGTGCCTGGGTCGATGCTCAACCACTGAGCCACACCGGCTGGGCTCCTTAGATTTCTTGAGTCCTCTGATTCTACAATCACTGGTTTCCATGCATTCAAAGTTCCTGGTACCATCTTCCTAATTCCCTAATGATCCAGCGTTTTCCATTTCAGAACCACTCAGATCTACCCAGACACGGGCCTTCATCTCCACCTTTCCGACAGCCACCCTCTTCCCGCAATCAGAAATAGTCTTCCTGTACCCCAGTTCCCTGCGACCCTGCTTTCTACAGTGGTAACTGGCTATTCTGGGCAAAGATGTACTATTCAGAGTACACACTAATATGACTGTATAGTCACCTTCTCCTTTCCATCTTTCCTCCCGGTAGGAAGCAAAAGTTGAGCACAGACCCTGGTCAACAGCCAGCTGTCAGTGCGAAGTGTAAATGATCGTAAGGATGGCTCTTGGACGGGTGGGATTCCACAGACGATGCTTAGCTTTTCTAGAGAGATTCTGGTGGTGGTCATTTGGAGCAAGGTTAAGTGCAGAGCAGTCTTGTGACGGGCTGATTGGGAGGTATTTCGGTGCAGGTAGGACCTTCCTCCGTTCACTCGTTGATTTCTGGAGAACCTCAGGACTCTGACCCCTGTCTTTCTCCCACCCAAGGAAGCAGCAGAGCTACGTGCAGAAGCGCTGGAAGGATGTGCGCGTGGGAGACTTCATCCAGGTGCAATGCAATGAGATCATCCCGGCCGACATACTCCTCCTCTTTTCCTCGGACCCCGGCGGGATCTGCCACCTGGAAACCGCCAACTTGGATGGAGAGACAAACCTCAAGCAAAGGCGTGTGGTGAAGGGCTTCTCTCAGCAGGTAGGGCTTTTTCCAACATCTCCAAGGGCAAGGTCACAGGGAAGAAACAAGCCAACTCCGGTGGAAAATTGAACTTAATGGGGTGGGTAGAGGGGAAAGTAGTGGCTGCCTCCTTTTCCCAGCCACTTGGCTACAATCTTCCCAGCAACCCTCTGAAATGCGTGTTGTCCCCTTACCACAGATGAGGAAACTGAGGCTTAGGAAAGTTAAATAAATTGCTAAAGGCTTCAGAGTTCCTAAATGCGCACCCACTCTGTTCATCTGATGAAACTACTCTCTGTTCTAAACCCCGGGGGTCCGATATCTGTTCAGTTATCCTGGGGCCGACCCACTTTGCTGTGTGTGTCTGCCTGCTCATCCTGCCCAGCTCAACTCCAGCTCTCTCCCTCCAGGGATCCTCCCTAATATCCCCTCGACCAGCATGAACTGCATTTAGGTGTTATTAACGGTTTCCATCTGCGTATACTTTACCTTCTCAACAGTCCTGAAACCTCTCTGAGGACAGAGACCAATCACTGACACTTTTGTTTGATCCCCACACTTGCATCTGTGGTACCTTGGGCATCACGGAGAAGTCATTATTGTTTGGTGGTTAATAGCCCAGAGCTAGACTCTAAGTCCAACCTCACCATTTATTGCTTGAATCACCTTAGGCAAGTAATTGCTCTCTCGCACCTTCGTTCCCTCCTCTGGAAAATGGGTACACAAGTAGTACCCTCTCCACAGGATAGTTCTAAAGATTAAATGATATATACACACTTACCATGAAAATACAGACACATAGTAAGAGACCAGTAGACAGTTGGCCGTAAATGTCAATGGTGTTCATAGGTTATAAGTGTTGATCAATTGAAACTGGATGTGATATCCTAATTCTTCATTAAAATTCTGCTTGAAAGAGTTGATTTCCAACCTGGTATTTTTCTCTGCCCATGCAAAAGAATAAAATTCCATCAGGTTTCCTCACTCTGCCGGTCTGTGGCTGGGGAGAAATGGGATGAGTCAGGAGATTTAGGAGAAAGAGGGCAAGTGATTCCCTCCTTAGGGATGCGCGTGCGTTCAGTTATCGCCCGTGAAACTTGTCGAGAGGGGACCATTCATCACACCGCACTCTGCCTCTCTCAAAGCGCCGTTCGAACAGTTCTCATAAAAGCCCTCTTCGTATGATTAATCCCGTCCTCAGAAGTCTGTTCTCTCATCCTGACTCTGGGAAGGATAGTAGCTGCCCCCTAGTTTTGCTGTGAGACTCCAGTGAGATAAGGAAAGGAAGGAAGAAAATACAGGGTTTGGTGCAAAGCAGACACACAGCAAAGGGTCTATCGCTGCTGCCTGGGCTGCAGCTACTACACTGGGAATGGAACCCGCCATGACCAGCACACGCACACACACGCGTGCACGTGTGACTATGTGTGTGAATATGTAAACTGCCGCCTCACTCAAACTACATGCAAAGCATTCTGAGCATTTTTTTATTAATTTATTTTTGATACAACTGTTTCTCCTTTTTGCCCCATTGACACCTTTCTTCCACCCCTCCCCCTCCCCCCAGCATTCTGGGAACTTCTACTCTATTTCTTTTTTGAAGTTCTGTGAGCAGTGAAAGTTGTACTTGCTTACACATCTCCCTGTCAGCCTCTTCACCTCAACACCCTCATCACAATCCGGAGTCCTTTCTACTCTCTCGGGTAGTTATTTCGGTGTTGTTGAGTTTCAGCAGCCAGGTTTTTTTCTGTCTTTGGCAGCAGCAGCTCCCAAGCTGTTTCTTGTATATTAATTAGTCAGATAGTTTGGGATTTGACTCGAGATAAGAGCCCGCCGAAAGGGTCATTCACACTCCAGTGCTATAGATCAGGCAATTTAATAACACTGCTCCGATTCTAACCCTGAACCCACACAGGAGACTTGGGGTAACGACTTACAAAAGAAGGTAAATTCATTGGTGAAGGGAGGAAGATTTATTTGAGCTTGAAGTGTTTTCAGAGTGCTCTATTCTGTTTCAATTCTTGATTCTCCTGCTTGACTTTCCTCAATTATATTTTTCTCCATTTCTGGATAATAATAATATGCTTTTATTAAGCCCTTACTAAGGGCTTTGCATGATTACCTCATTTATCCTCACTAAAGCCCAAAGAAATGGGTGCTATTATTTCCCCATCGTATACATAAGGAGACCGAGGCATAGAAGGTGAGGTAAGTTGCTCAAGGTCACTGATCTGGGAAGTGTTGGAACCAGAATTCAAAGCCAGGTTTGTCCAGAGTCTCGGCTCTTAAGGTTTTCAGTAGCTCATCTCCCTGGCCTTGGACTGTTACCTTGAGATTACCCAGAGAGGCTTATCTGAAAGTACGCCTTTATCATTTTCAATATTCCTTCCACATTTAAGCAGTAAGTGGCAGGAAGAAAAGTAGGCTTAGCTCCCTGGGGGAGGAACGTGTTTGCTCTTTTCTGCCTTGCTTCTCCCTTATGTCTTCAGTGCAAAGAGATTTCTGAATGCGAATAGGATTCTCTTCCAGCTAACCCTGTACTATAGCAATGTCTCAAATGTGTCGCACAAAGACGTGGATGGCAGTTGCAAGAAACGTGCACACTGCAAAGTCAGATAAGATCAGAAGGCAAAGTCTGCAAATACTGTGCATTGCAGGACTTCTCAGGTATTTCAGAAAGGCCCAGGGAAGTGAGGGCGCAGTTACTAGTGTGTAGCCTTTCTAAACATTTAACCACAGAAACCTTTCAGTCCAAGGAACACATTCTGAAACTACTGCAAAAGAGGTGAGATTACAGTTTAGGGATTTGCCCCCAATTACATTACAGGTTTGGTTTTGTTTTTTTTAATGCTCATGCCCCAGGTCTGGGCATGCATATTTTTAAAATGTTTCCCCAGACGCCCTGGCCAGTTTGGCTCAGTGGTTAGAGCATCGGCTCGTGGACCAGTGAGTCATGGGTTTGATTCTGGTCAAGGGCACACAACTCGGTGCGGTTCGTGTCCGGCCCTGGTCGGGTTGTACGGCAGGCAACCAGTCAATGTGGCTCTGGCACATCGATGTTTCTCTCTCCCTTCCCCTCCATCTGAGAAAAATATCCTCGGGTGAGGAATTTAAAAAAATGTACATAAAATGTTTCCCCAGATTGTCTTGCCGTGAGCCTACCACCACCACCTTGAAAAGCTGTACCACAAGGGAAGGCGGCACTTCCAAAACCCTTCACAACAATGAGGACAAAACCACCACCTTTGTGCTCCTCACCTGCGCTGGTCTCTTGCATTGTGTCGTTTAGTCCTTGCGACCGCCGTGTGAGGTGCGCATTGTATCCCCATTTTACAGAGGAAAACACTGAGGTGCAAAAAAGGCAAATTTCACCAATTGCCTCAGATTTTGAACACCTACAAATACAGTTTGTTTGGAAATTTAATATCGTAATAAGTATTGGTGGCTTTTGTTAGCTTGTTTTCCCTCTAAATTTGTATTGTCTATGAGACCTTCGCCTTGCCAAAAGGGTTTCTACTAACCACAGAGATTTCTGGAAGCCTCCCACCCCCCACATATACCCACACCCATTTTCACCAACTTTGGATGATGAGAGAAATTATTGTATTCTGTTCATTCCAAGTCAGTAAGACAAACTTTGTTTCAGCTTTCCTAGACCGTATTTCTCAAGGTGGGGTCTGCCAAACCCTTATCTCAAGAGAGAGTTCTTGAAAAACAAGGTCTGTCGTCAAATCGTACTGGGAGGCCTGTGTCCGTGGGCTCCTCTGGGACATTCCAATATGTTAACATGCTAAGGCCTCCAAGAAGACTTGAGGTCAAGAGGCTGGTTCAGCTCTCTACCTCTAAGCTTTCCTAACTTAACCTCAGAACAGTGAGTTTTTAGCATTCCTGTGTAAATTTGGGGAAAATGTGAAACTGGACTGTGGAACACCCATTATCACAACAGGTGAGGAGTAACCGAGAGGCTGACAATCCTCATGGCTTAGGCGGTTCATTCTTAACTTTCCTGTCTAGATTCCAATGAAATTATAAAACATGAAAGAGCTTCTCAAAATCGTCTTTCTTCCATGACACAGCAAATCATCCTCAAGGTTGCCAAAGAATTGATTTCAAAATCCTTTTCTCAGACTTCAACTTGGACCAAGTCATTTTTTTTTTCAATTGGAACTTTTATTGTGATGAACTATCTTTGAATTCACACAATTATTGACTTGTTCATGAAGTATCTATTCCCACACCATGCTGGGGAAAGGGCAGAAAGGAAAGGAATCCAAAATGTGGATTGTGCTAAGAGGACATCCTTAGAGAATTAAATTGTACAGTTTTCTCTTTGGTGGCATTCTGATACCTGAAACCTCTTTTTTACAAGGATTTCCGAGATGGGCGCTAGGCATTTAACATCTGGAAATGAGGGTGTGCCATTCATTTTGGGACATTGGGCAGTTACCAAACCAAAGAATCAGAAATGAATTTTTCCAATTAATATTTCACATCAAACACATTTCTGGTGTTAAAGAACAAAATTCAACTGAGTAAATTGAAGATGTAATTGACTTTATTAAGTGATTCATGAATCAGGCAGCATCCCATCTAGCAAAAGGAATGGCACTCTGGGGCGTTGTAAAATGTGGAAAGTTTTTATAGGTAGAAGGGTTGGCATGGGCGCTATTAACAAAAGCAAAGAAAGGATTACTTTTAGACTAGGACATCTTTTGGAGGAGAAGGAACGCTGAGGGTTTTTATCATGCCAATTGCCTCTTCTGGGGCTTGGGGTTGGAGAGAGCCCAACATGACAGATTACTTCATTGATGTTGACCAGAAAATGTTAGACTGGTTGGTTAAGGTTACATTAGTGGGAGAGGCTGAAATGGCAATTATGTCAGGTATTAAATCTAGGTTTGGTATCATGAGCTTTAACATGAGTGATGCCATTTTGGACCTGTGGTTTTTCTCTTTAACAATTGTTACCTGTTATTCAAATCACCGAAGCATGTGTCAGATTATTTCTCTATGCCAAC